GTGGTGTTCTTATTTCATCCGCGTTTCTAGTATTATATCTATGATAGTCACTTCCTCTTTCAATTCGATCACACAAATATCGAGGCAGCAAACCGTTAACTACTTTAAAAATGAACACCATAGTCAAATATACAATTCTTTGCTTCACCGACAACCATTGTAAGGCGTCTAGCATCAAAGTTGAGGAAGTGAATCTATTACATCTCAAAATCAAACGCATTATTTTATTCTGCAAGCGCTGTAATCTCGATATTTGTGTTGCATTGGACAGAAATAAAATGGATGGGCAAAAGTCTAGATGAGGAGAGATGATTGATTTGTATAGCTGTATTTTACTGGCAATAGTTAAATCGTTTTTCAATCGACATAGAATTCCATACTTCTTGGCAATTTTCTTGATGACATTGTCAATGTGAGAGTTGAACTTAAGTTTGTCATCAATAATCACGCCAAGATATTTCATCTCCTGAACGCGATCAATAGTCTCATCATCAATTACAACAGAGACGTTCTCATTTAATCGATTCCGCGAAATTACCATAAATTTAGTTTTACTTGTATTCAATTTTAACTGCTTACACTTCAACCATCTACTTAGATACTGCAAATCTTCATTCAATAGTGAGACGGCAACTTCTAAATCCTTAGCTGCAATGAATAACACAGTATCATCTGCAAAAAGGTTAATGTCGCAAAACCGTAAAACACGTCGCAAGTCATTAATATACATAATAAATAAAAGGGGCCCTAATACACTTGCCTGGGGCACTCCAAAGTTGTTCCCCACGGGACTGGAAACAGAATCATTAAAAACAGTCCGTTGAGTTCTATCAGACAAATAGCTTTCAAACCATTTATATGCAGTACTCGTAATTCCAAAGCGCTTGATTGTACTTAACAGTAAGGGCCTAGAAATTGTTTCAAAAGCGCGTTTCAGATCCAAAAAAACAGCAACAATCGTATCTTTACGCTCCAAGTTGTCTTTCCACTTTGCTAACACCAAATTCAATGCAGTTTCACAAGAATGACCTTCCCGATATCCCGATTGTTCTGGTATCAACAAAGAGTTGCTATTCAAATACTCCAACAGCTGGCCTTTAACAACAAGTTCTAAGATTTTCTCTAATGTGTGCAACATGTTGATGGGACGAAACTCTTCGGCTTTAATCGTTCCAGCAACTTTTTGAATAGAAATCACTAAGGATTCCTTCCAAATTTGTGGCACATGTCCATTCTGCAATGATTCATTAATAAGGTCCAGAAAGATGTGGCCAATGACATGAAAGCAATCTTGAATAACTCTAGCATTAACATTATCTACTCCAGCCGATTTTCCTAATGAAAAACAAATAACTCTAAGTTCATCTAATGTAATTGGGTGAAAAACTTCAAATCTGCAACTACTATTAACTGGCTGTTTTATTTCGTCAGGTTCATCGACCAATTCAATAGATTGATTAATCAATGAAACACTGTCTACGAAATAATCATTAAACTTAGATGCAATTACTTGTTCTGACTGTTCTAATGTGCCATTAAAAGTTATGGACCGCGGTTTGCAATTACTAGGTTTTAATAAAGATTTCAAAATTTTCCATAACTCTTTGCTGTTGTTTTGATGCTGATCAATCTTCCTTTGAACATATTCACAACGAGTTTTCTTTATCGATTGTGAATACTTATTACGCGCGATTGTGTACCTAGTCCAATGATTGTCATTATTAGATCTACAAAACTTTTTGTACCATTTGTCCCTTTTCCGTTTAAGACGCAAAAGATCCAAATTGTACCAGCTGTTCAAGTTTTTCAAAGAAACAAACTTTTGCTCAACTAGTTGATTGGTACACGTTTTCAAAGCGTTATTAAGAACAGCTGTAGATTCATCTAAGTTACCGGCCGCGAATGGAAAATCCAGGCTTCTCTCAACAAGATTTGAAACAGCTTGCTTCGAATATTTCCTCCAGCACTTCAATTTTACAAAATTATCGTTATCGTTAACATGGTCTAAGACATTAATCACTAAAGTCTCATGATCGGTTATTTTCAAATCAGTATCCGTAACTGAACAAATGGAATCAAAATTGGAATAAACGTGGTCAATTAAAGTTCTACTGTGCCTAGAAATACGCGTATATTCATTTACCGTTTGCTTTAAATTAAAAAACTCAGCTAAACGCTTCAAATGATTCGAATTATGGTTATCACGCCAATTAATATTAAAATCACCAGCCAATATATTTAATTTACTAGAATCAAGGAATGTCTCGAGCCAGTTCTCTAAAACTTCAACAAAACGCTGGTCACTATAACTGGGAGAATGATACAAAACACCATAATTACCCATCTTCATGCCACGTACAACTGTAATGCCCAAGAACCAGTTGCCATCAATAACTTCGTTGGTACGAAGGTTGAATTGAACTGATTCTTTGACATAAATAGCCGTTCGTGCATCCGATAATAAACATGTGAACTTGTTCAGTATCCGTTTGTATGTACTGACAGTGATCGTCCGCAATTTTGATCAATTCGCGGTGCTGACCTTCAACAGACACTTGAATGTGCGTTAACACAGTGAACAGAGAAATTGTTCTTCTATTGCATATTATATTCTATTGTGTCATAACCTCCAGTTTGAATAAAATTGTAACATAATTTAAAACAGATAATGTTTCACAATTCTGAGCAAAATTTTACTCCACTGTGAGTGGTTTTCGATAGCCTTGTTGATACTGAGTTGTCAACTGCTAAGCGCTCAATTTACAGTGTTCTAGTCACCTTTCGTATCACTAGTGGCGCTAGCGTCGGGGATAATAGAAGAGTGGAACATATTCTTCTTTTCCTTTATTTAACGTCGGTCTCTGTTCCGCAATCTAGTGCGAATCACCGACGGACATCGATTGTCATCCATTGACGGCAACCGAATGTGTAGGAAGGCAGCTTCCACACCTGCGTAGGATATCGCACCTATTCAACACACATGGGCCGGGACCAACGGCTTTACTTCCCTTCCGAAGGAAGACGTGACCAGAGATTTTTATGCCTCAGAAAAATCCCACCGACCTCGACTGGGATTGAACCCAGACCCATAGTCCTCTCCAGGCGGGTTCGTATTGGTGCGATTTGCGAGTTTTAGTGAGATGAAATTTTTTGTTAGCTGTGAGAATTTTTTTGTTTGCTGTAAGAACTGTCATTCTAAAGTAAAAATAAACAACAAAACGAAAACAAACCCTACGCTTGCACGGTAACAGTTAAATACCCTTTTATGAGCAAAAGTTAACCCATTTTTAATAAAAGTGGCTTTACTCATTAATGAGTAAATTATTTTAACAACAATGAGTTTCTGCTAACAGTAGTTAACAGATACTACTTAATTGGTATAATAAATAACTCATTAATTAGTAATGTCATTTTTATCGACAATGGGTTCACTTTTACTCATAAATGGAAGTTTGATTCTTACCGTGCATATGACAGTATACGCTAGTGTGTGTAAAATTATATTATTAGTGTAGTGTTCGTGAGATCCTGCATGGAGAACTCAATTGGGGTGTTAGAAAGCAGTCACGCTTACCACTACACCACCGGCGCCGGCAGAACCATATTGTTAATTGATAACATTTTTTAATATAAATATGTTTTTTTCCCCTCAAGAGTAACTTTTTAAAAAGGCGTTTTTAAAACTGTATTAAAATAAGAAAAAAAAAAAGAATCGTAGTTTGAAACAACTTATCTGATCAAAATAACATCTAAGAAGATGATTTAGAAATGGTCTTTGATAAAAAAGCACTGAAATGGAAACAACAGTAAATGTATAATAATGTATGAAAGTAAAGAAATAATAAAACGTTGACTTTATCGGAGGACCCCTTTCGATTTTTTCTAATTTTTATTGTGAAGAAAGCTGATGTTATATTCTAAAACCTGGAGGAAAGTGTTATATGAAAAATGCAACCTTGGGTAGTAGCCAACATATGAGCAAAATTTAATTCAAATCGAAAACAATCATGTCCAACCGGTTTGCGTTTTGGGCTGGAAATGCTCTATTGTTGATTTAAATTAATTTTTGACAGCTTTAACCAAAATGCGCATACTTGCCGTAAAACGGGGTTAGTAATATCTGAAAGGGTTTCTCAAGACTTTTAAAAATATCTGAACCACATTTCACTTCGATTTTCATGAAGATCGATTTTATCGATAGTATTTAGGAGCCATCCTAGGGTATAGATTTTTCCTTAACCTATATCGTTAATAACTAGTTGTTTCGACAATTTAACATGTTTGATGTAATTTTGTTCAAAGTCAGTTACCACTATTGAAATTTGGTTCTTGAACTAATTTGCCTTCAATTTGCAAACTAATTTTCCCAACTTTCTCTTTCACCCGTAAATGCTATGGACACCCATAGGGACCTGATATTGAGAGTCCAACATTGACATCACTTATACAAGTTTTGGATGCCTTTGTGATGGGGACCGTAATGAAATGAAGCTATTTAATACCTTGAGTAATAATCATCGACAAGACATTTTTAGTCCAGATAGATTTATAACATGTTTCATCAGCTCAGTCTGAACCTAGCATAATATTACACGAGAAAGGCACTTGTCACCGGTAGGTTGATCAATCAGGATCAATCAGCCTAATCAAAGAAGCTTCAAATACCTAGAAAGTTTATCAAACAAGAGTTCGAGAAACTAAAGTTGATCGACTGAAGAAAAATCGACACCCACAATTATGTAGTACAAACTATTGAACTTAAGCATTCTACTTTCTAACGATTAGCAGCTTTAATTAGAGAAACAGGAAAATAGGTGTGAGTAGTTTCGTTTGGCGTAATTTCAACTATTTGTCTGTATCTAAAAACTATAATAGAAAATTTATGGCACCAGCTCGGAAACGAAAACATTGTATTGCTAACGAACCACCACGCGTCTCCATAGAAACCGATTATGTATGTACTTATGTGTGTCATGTAGGTACGATATAACTGAACTCACCTAGCAGCATCTGAGACATCATAGCAGCCATGCCTTGGGTCAAATCGTAAATGTACAGCACCACATCGTTGCTTTCCTCCATTGTTTCTGTTGTTTTATTTTCGGTTTTCCTTTCACTTGTCCACTGTCAATCAGCAGCCCGATGAAATTTTCAATTATTTTCTAGAAACACTATCACAATTTCCTTCTGGTCAATACCAAAGCACCAGGATGGTTATGTCATTCAATTTGCACTTTCTTCTTGATTTATAATCAGTCGAGTCTTCTATGACAACAGATCCTGGTAGAGCTACTTTGATTAGAATACTTTATCAATTTGGATGACTAATTATTTCACGTTCCTCATTTGTACCACATCAATCCGCTTCACTTGACTGACTGATTTCTCTAGTTCTGCTGACCAGCCGTTTCCGCACACAATTTGAACCATTTATCATCCACCTCCGTGGACAAACTGAAAGCACTGAAGTTTCCTCCAATGATCGCTCTGCCACAACACCACCGGTCCCAGGAGGAAAATTATTCTCTTACCACAGGTGTACCTACTTGGGTACCCGCTTGCTGCCAGCAGAGGCAAAAGTCACGATTCGTTCTCAAAATAAGCTTGCCAAAAAAATTAGGCCTATAGAGAGAAAATAGAGAAAGAGTGAGATCGAGTTTTCGGTGGCGCCTCATCGATTTGAGACTGTGATGGCAGTCCGTGACAGCGGCGGCTTATTCTAGTAGGCTGAGTATGAAATATGCAACATGGAGTAGCAGCAGTATTTAGCTATAGGACGTGTTTTAGCGAGGAGCAACAGCAAGTGATACGAGTAAATTTAATTTTAAAGTGATTGCTCGCGCGGCGTGCGCTCGCAAATACTTTCTCTCACAAACGGCGCGCGTGCGGCGAGGAATTAGTGTTTTCATATTCGTGAATTAGACTCATATTGCTTCGTCTGCAGGTACCGTAAAACCTGGGGAAGTTGATCACTTTTTACCGATACATCTGAATATTTTTCCTGTCATATGTTTGGCATACAAACAAATACCTCTCAAACCGGTACTAGTAAATGCTTTTCTTATGTATTAATTTAGTTTTGGAATTGCATGCTTGGTTTATCTTTTTAACTAAACTTAGATTAAAAATGCAAATGATTAATTCTTTTCAGTACAGTAACTCAAAATTTTTTCAGGCAGTTGATTTCCTTACCAGAAGACGGTACTTTCAATATTGAACGAAATGTTGGTTGATATGTCAGACAGGAAATAACTAGGTCCAACTATGATATAAATATGAAATAGGAATTTTGCCAAATATTCAAACTTTACAGAAAAATTAATACAATAATAGTCTTCGAACTCTGCAGCGGTATTGGGTCGTTTCGGAGAACCGCCTGGCTGACGATCCTTCGCATCCAACTGACTGAAAAACATATCTGGTACCTCTATACTATAACGGCGCCGGTGGTGTAGTGGTAAGCGTGATTACCTCTCACCCCAGCAGGCCTGGGTTCAATCCCAGTCGGCGCCGCCGGGATGTTCTGAGGCATAACATCTTCATCACGCCTTCCTTCGGATGGGAAGTAAAGCCGTTGGTCCCCGGTTCATGAGTTGATGGGTCGATAGGTAGGGTCCAGATGTGGGAGCTGCCTTCCTGGCACGTCGGTAGCATTGGTGCTCAGCACGGAAAACAAGATCGACGGAAAAAAACAAACCAAAGCAAAAAAACCTCTATACATGCAATTAGATTAACATCCGAAGTCCAACGTTTTAAAAGTACTATTTAAAATTACTTAATGAAATACTAAACAAATTATCTTATACAATATTATAAAAAAATATATTGTTGAGAAACGGAAATTGAACAGTGTACTAATAAACTTCACCTTAATGATCAACTTCACACCGTTTTACGGTACCAACATTCTTCTGGTGGCATTTCAGTATTAGTCATGACACGTCATGAATACGTCTCTGGGATCATAAATTTTTAAACAATGATAAGGTGTTCGGAATAGAATTAAAGGGTGTACCGTTTAAAATCGGCACACACTCAAATTGCTCTAACTTTTGATCCGTTGGGTAAAATAATTGAAAATTTGCGTAGACAAAGTTGGGAATCGCGAATTCCACGGTGTCTGGTATCATAAAACAATTCGAAGAACGTCTGACTGTTGATTGGAAGCGGAGATCCGTCAGGTCAACGAGAACTATCACAAACGCGTGGTTAGGGCCTTTAAACGGAAACTGAACACCTCAGTTCGAGATGTGGCTAAAAAGTTGCATGTGAGCAAGACTTTCGTGAAACCAAGCCATGACGAGTAACAGAATACGGTCGCACAAAGCCGTGCCCGGAAGTTGTACGACCAGAAGTTAACGAAGCCACACTGCTGCGTAATGGATGACGAGACATATGTGAAGGCAGACTTCAAACAGGTTCCAGGAAACGTGCACACTTCAAAATAACTAATTTTACACGTAACGGAATTCGTCTTTGACATAAAAGATGAGACGTAAACATACATATCATGTAAAATTAGGTGCTCCGAGACTGAAAATTTCGTTGGTCGACGAAAAGTGCGTTTGATTGGACTATATTTCGCGTCTGTTATGACTCAAATTTATGTCAAAATTGACGCTCGTATATGTCACTCTCAGAGCACCTAAATTTACATGATTTTTTCTAAGTGTGTGTATGTGACTGCAAAGGATAAGTGTGATGTTCCCGAGAACGTCCGGACACAGAAGATGTCGAAGTTCGCCAAGAAGCTCTTAATTTGGCAAGTGATTTGTACTTCCGGAAAGCGGAGTACACCTTTCGTTACCGCAAGCACGATGAATGGACAGGTGTATTAGGAAGAGTGTCTCCAAAAGCGGTTTCTCTCTCTCTCCTGAAGGCTCACGACGGTCCGACGATCTTCTGGCCGGATTTGACATCATGCCACTACACGAAGGACGTGCTAGAGTATAAGTCGAATGATGTCGATTTCGTGTTGAAAGATCTGAACCCCCCCCCTGCGCCCAGTTGAAAAATACTGGGCCATTATGAAACACCACCTTCTAAAACGACCTAAAGTAGTGAAGAATGTAGAAGTAATGAAAAAAGCATGGGTTAATATGCAAAAATCTGTAGTTTCTGAGGTCGTGCAGATTCAGATTTAAAGGCAAAATAAATTAAATGAATCATACCAAAACTAACTTTAGTTGTTTCTTTTTACTCCCTGGAAATTTGGTGATGATCGGATAAAAACGAATTTTGGGAATGAATTTTGTGTGTGCGGATTTTAAACGATACGCCCTTTAAACTCAATCAAAATATCGAATTCTTTGGATGCTTAAATATAAGAGAAAAACATGCTGAAACATAATAGCCTAGATTTTCTGAAAAGAAACCAACCTTACCAACCAAGACACCCTTCCTTGGCCAGCCAACCTTAAAATAACCGGGAATTTGAAAAGAAACTGGGAAAACCAGGAAAACTCGGGCATTCCATTTGGACATGGCATGTCAAAATATAACAATATATCATATGCAGAATTATCATAAAATTTTCCTTCAAACTTACTTGTATGTTCTCTCCTCGTAATTATCATGAAAGTTTCTTTGGAATTCCTTAGAAATTCTCCTAAGAATTACCTTGGAATCCTTCTTAAAATTCCCTTGCAACTACATATTTCAATCATTAAATTCATTTGAAATTCTTCTCAATTTCTCAACTCAAAGCGGTCCTCAGTAATCCTCCGGAATTCTCCACAGAAATCCCTTGGATATCCTTCGGAGTTTTGCTGAAGCTTTCCTAAGAATTTGTTGGAATTTGACTAATAACCTTCTGATATATTTTTTTTCAGAATTCTCTTGAAGTTATATTTTGGAAATAAATCAGTATTCCTTAAAATCATCCTCAGAACACCCTTTAAATTCTGTTAATAAATCTTCTCAAATTTTCCTTAAAATTCCTCTGGTATCGTCTTCATGACTCAAATGCAAGTCTCTGCAGAATCACTTAAGAATTCAGATCTTCCTTTTTTCTCCCCAAATATTCACCTCACGATTTCGTAGAACTAAATCTCAAAATTTTCTTTGAATTCTGGACAGAGCTCCTTTAGAATTTTGCCTAGGATTTTCCAGAAAACCTCCTCAGCGTTTCCTTTAAATTATCACATCAATTCCTTTCAAATTTACCCTACCGTATGCGTGATAATGTTTGCACCATCGTACAAATAAGGTTCCCGCTTCACCTGTGCATACAATGCCTTGGTTTTCTTTGCATGCACGTAACCTATAGCTCATACCTTAGTAGGCTGTGTTTAAAAGAAAATGATTTACTTAGTTTGATAGTTGCACCATGACGAAGTGGCAGCGTATTCGTGATTTGTCCCACGCGCAAAAGTCGCAAAAAGACATTTCAATCGCCGTGGGAGTGTCCCGGTGAACCGTCAAAAGGGTTTTAGACCGAGAAAAGAAAGGACAACTATCCGCGAAGGTGGCCACAGGTCGTCCGAGGTCAGCTCGGGTTCCGAGGGTTATCGCTGCTATCAAAAGGAAGATTCGTGTGAATCCAGTGTGTTCAATAAGGAAAATGGCAAAGGAACACGGGATCAGTGACTTTACGGCACGAAAGATCGTAAAGGAAGATTGCGGGACGAAGTCGAGGGCACGGAAAAAAAACTCACATGATTACCAACCGCATCCGGGAGCTACGAGTCGAACGATGCAAGAAAATCTTGAACTTCCTTAAGCGAAAAAATCCGATAATCCTGTTCACCGAGGAGAGCATGTTTACCGTCGATCCCGTATCAAATTCCAGAACCGACGTGGCCAACGAACACAAGAACGTGTATCTGACCAAGCATCCTGCTAGCGTTATGGTGTTTGGATTGGTGGCTTCCGATGGCAAAAAAATGGACCCAGTGTTCATTCCAGAAGGCGACAAGGTCAACACGGAGGTCTACATCGGGATTTTAAGTAAGTATGTTCTTCCAAAGAGTACGGTCTGAAGCTAAATGTTGTATTTCAACAAGATGGGGCTCCGTGCCACACTTCGAACCGCACTCAGAAGTGGTTGTAGGAACATCTTCCGTTCTGGGCGAAGGATATGTGGCCGCCATCCAGCCCCGATCTTAATCCGCTGAATTACTCAATATAGCGTGTCATGAAGGCAAAGGCATGTTCTAAACACCACCCGAGTACAGCAGGCCTCAGACAAACATTGACCCGTACCTGGAGATAAATGGATCCAGACTACATTATTAGAACCTGCCGTGCATTCCTG